GTAGGGACATTACATATGTACAATTGCAACTCCTTTCTATCTTTCTGGGAAGTTATCTTTTGGAGTAGTTGAAGATCAATTATTTTGACCGCTTTCTGAGAAATACAGGCTTTGAGCCGGCTCGCCGCTGCTGAAAATTGAAAACAGACCCATTTTTAATTCCCCAGTAGCCCAAGTTCCAGACCAGATTTGGGGAAGCTTGCAATTGGCTCATATGTAATGAATATTTGCCATCATCCTTTTATTTACCTCCGAGACCTGTTTATTTAGGAACAAATCAAAGAATTCAAAGTAGCGTTTTTTGAGCCAATACAGGCTACTTCTCACGCCAGGATTCCAGTTTATGGGGTAAGTCCCTCGCTGGGGCTCGGGCCTTTGGCGAGGGACTTTGTTAAGTTTGGCTTGCCCGCCTTTAAATTCAATCTTGCTGGAAGATATAGCACTTAATCATGTAAACTGTCAAGTGCTGAGTATCTGTGCATAGCCAAGGTGTATGAAACAGGCGTAGAGGAATGTGAACTTCAGGTTGCAAAATTTGTGCGATGGCAAATTCAAATTCAGAGTGATGACTTGCAGCCTGACAGACTCTGACCAAAGGCAAGGCACAGGGTTACACACAATAGGAAATGTATGAAGGAATTTAAAATGAATATGCACAATGTAGTAACAAGAGAATGTTGACCTATAGACTCACCAAATTAATGTGATCCAGGACTCAAGGTCAAGAGAGTTGATCAAGAGGCCTAGGGTATATGAGATGTATCATGATTCATAAATTTACATGATAGGTCATGTACAGTAGAGTCTATATGTTGATGGATTTAAGCTGGTATACAAAAGTTCATAGTTTGGTTGAGACCAAGTAAACAGATTTGACCTCCAATCTTTTTGTGTAAGCAAAGAGCTCAAAGACGAAAGATTGTGGCCACCTATGGAGTCTTGTATGCAACCATCATTGGTAGCTTAATTGCCTTGATCATAAGTTTTTCTTTCTTGAAAGCTTCTTGGTTAACATGACCTAATGATTGACTTTCTTTTCCCACTCGGTCATATTTTTATTTAGGTCTTACCTGTTGTTTTTAGATCATCTTTAGATGAAGCAGACTGTTTGATTTGTAGAAGCATCTAATTTTTTTCCATATTTTTTTACATGTCCATCTTTTGACTTCTTTTTCAATATACATCTCAACATGTTATCTATCTTTTTTCCCATCTCTATCTCTTCAAGACATCTTCTTTTTAACAACATCTTTGAACATTTTACTTATATGTGTTCAAGGAAAGAGACAACAACATACATAAAGAAGACATTGGACATGGTTGATGCTCAGTAAATGCTCATAATACATTGAGATGATGATCACATTCCAAATCTGAGATACCAAGACCTTGGGCTTATACCTTGCTTGCATCTTGGAGGTAGCAAGAAACTTTGCGTAGATTTGTTTGGGCAAACGCGTAAAAAAATCTGACCAAGGTGTCCAGATCAAAATTCCCAACAAAAAAGACGTCAACTCATTTGTAGGCAGTAAAGTACCAGTATACGCTGATATGAAGTACCCAGATTCAATTGAAAATGACAATCATGTGACCAAATGAACGTTTTTTTAGATATGTCTTGAAGAACGCTTGACGCCACTCGATTTTATCAAATTTCATGTACCTCTGAGCAGGGGATGTCAATCAGGCGAGTCTGAAAGAATCAACAGCAGTTAGCTGAGAGCAATCAGGCGAGGAGGTCAAGAAATATGACATACTCAATCATTGAGTACAATCTTGGCAATTCCTTCAGGGTCCCAAAACAGTGAATTGATGTCATTGTATCCAATGATTTCCATATGATCTTTTTCTCTTCGCATGAAGATGCCATCAATCAATTCATATCCTTGATCCCTGAAAAATCAATCAAGCGGCCTGATGACAGCCCGTAAGTAAAGACCTTGCGGAACAGGTTCGACGCGATTTTGACATTCTGGAGAACGATAATAATCATCTGCACATTTGAAGATGAAACAGAGACATTCAGGCATGAACCGAACTTGGGCAGCTTCACCTCAAACAAGAAGATAGAGTGCTATTTGACGCATGTGATCGTAAGAGGACATGTTGGGCATAGCCTGTTGCCAGCGCGTTTGAGTAGATTCCAATGACTTGGCAGAGGCTGATTTCAATTTTTTTGCCGGTTTGGTCAACCCGAGGATAGCATGAGATGTCTGGCCAATTGCATCATCGAGATCGAGTTGAGCGGCAAAGTACCATTTACGATAGTTGGCATGTTCACCACCAATGTAATCAGCGTGTAAGGTCACAATAAGGCTTGTGAGCGAGACATGAACGAAGCCCTTGACTGATCAGACGAATCATATGAGGAAGAGATTTAATCAGCGTCGAGAATCAAGAGAGAAGAAACTCACATCAAGTTGAATCATCAGATGGTCGCAAACGTTCCTCATTGAGTCTCTCTGAAATCCAAATTTGTTGGCCAAGTCAATGAACACATCTTCGTCTTAAAAAGTGAGAATGAGTTTCTTGGTGGTATGTAACATACAAGACTTGACTTTGATGGATTTGGACTCATATGAATACGAAAAAGGAATTATTTGATATTGTGTTGAATTGGTGATTTGGAAAAGCAAGGGTGAAGTAATGATCAGAAGGATCACGGTGGTGGGTGGAGACGTTTGAAGCGAATAAGCG